ACGTCACACGGAAGAAGAAGAAGAAGAAGAAGAAGAAGACAGCCCTAATTATTAACCAACCCTCTTGAATATATGACAAGAATGAACAGCAATTGAAACTACTAAGTTTATTGCAATTTCGGTTCCTCGAAAAAATTGTAAACTAAGTGCGATGGATAAATTGTCGTTTATTGAAAATAGAAATTGACATCTCATTTTAACCATATATTTACCAAAATTTCACAAATAATATTTTGAAACACAAAAGAGTAAATTTATTCAATAAAATCGTCATTGGCTTCAACCATAGCTTCCAGACAAATTCGGAATCTCCTGCAACTCTTCGGCACGATCTCCATGTTTAAGTCAGTTCATCTTTGGTGTTACAAGGAGTTTTGTTGGTCTATCGCTCAACTGCGCCCCACGCATAATAATCAAGGGGGCTGCAGTCTGGTGAGTTAGATGGCCAGATGTAAGGGGTGATGCGGTCACAGAAATTGTCTGACAACCATGACTGGGTTCTCCTGTTTGTGTGACATGGTGCAGAGTCCCGTCGCCAGATATAGAGTCTTCCAGCAGCCACCTTCCAGGGTTGTACTACCTACTCAATGCACTCTATGTAGGCCTCAGTGTTGTGTCTAGGGCCCTCGCCAACAAATTCGGGATTTCTTATCAGAACAATCAGAGTGAGTTTTCCGAGCTGTCGTACCTTCGTAATTACCATTAGACTCAACAATTCTTTCCGAATCCTCTGCACTTTCCTCAGATTGACAACCAAACACCCTGAAATGTTTGTATTGGAGCTTCCGGCGCGAGTGCCAAGCAGTACAGCATGCCGTTTCTGGCGAAGTGAATTGAATCACTGAATCACATTGGTACTCTTTTTCTCACTGACGATGCCCAACTGACCCTTGCAGTCGACAAAATCAAAAACAAATAACACGCATGCGCCAAATTAAAAATATAAAATGGCGACGATTTGCCCATCGCATCCTGTACTTTTCTGATGTTATTCTCTTTTTCTAACAACGATTTTAACGTGAAAAAAAATAAACTTTCTCTAAATTTTCTCTAAATGATAAAGAAAGGAGAGAGAGAGAGAGAGAGAGAGAGAGAGAGAGAGAGAGAGAGAGAGAGAGAGAGTTCAATTTAAAAAAGACACAAGAGCTACTCAAGGTAGAGGGATAGCAAATGAGATGTGTACTATGAACGTAGAGGAAAAATTCAAAAATTAATATTACAATATGGCGGGTAGATAGCTATTGATATTATATTTGAAGAAGTTAAGATTTTTGTGTTCCGGAAAGCACCCGTTCAGGAGCTGTAGCGGTCCTTGTGATGGTGTTTTCAGAGGGGTACTCCCTTCTTATCAAAGGAATGCATAAGGGAAAGGGGGGGTATTCAATTGTTGACGTAGCAAGGCAAATCTTTGCCGGAAATGTCTGAGGTGCTGGTACGAGTGTTCTTCCGAACATTAGCCATGGAAATAGCAACAGGTTGCGTCTGTGGTATAGGGACTGTTCGGTGTAAAAAAATAAGCCATCCTCACACATGGCTGCCTAAAAGATTTTTTTTTTTAATTCTGTCACGTCTGGAAAGTGATGATTGGGCAACTCTAGCACAGAAATGACAGAAATATACCATGCTGAAAAGTTCTCGGCAACATCAATATGCGATACCCCCTCCCCCCCGACTTTCATTCCAATGTTTGGTCATTGAGTTTGTTTCGTGTGAAAATTAGTGGGACTGAGAACTTTTCAGCGCCCACTTGTAATGTAAGACGTTTCAAAAAGATTCTTGGTTCTTACATAAAAAGATACAGTGGACCTTTAACTCATTCCTTTTTTTCACTTACATTCATCAGTGATATCTGTACAAGGCTCAAGAACCACTTGAGGTAGAGGATTAATGAAGGAAGCATATGATATGAGCGTAAGAAGAAGTCGAGAGAAATTATGAGGATATGGTGGATAGATAACTATTGACCCTAAACTTGAAGTAGTTAAGTTTGTACGTTTCTACAAAGCATGCACACGGGAACATGTTCTACAAAGTATCAGTTCTTGTGACGGTTTTTTTCGGAGAAGATTTCCCTTCTTACTAAGGAAGGCGTAAGGGAATAGGGATGATTCAACCCTGTAAACGTAGCAAAGCAGGCCTTAGCTATAAAGAACTGAGCTGTTGACACTAAAGGATGGATCTCTTTGGAACTCTTGTCGTGGACGTAGCGATGGGGGTAGCTATAGCCTTGCGATGCTGTGTTTGTGGGATATTTTTAATCGTCACCACGCGGAGCGGCTAAGAATTTACCACCTTTATTTTCATTTTTCGATTGTTTCAGATGTAAGAAATGTCCCGAACAGGTAGCGATTTTATATGCTTCAGAAAGCCTTTTTTATAATATTGTTTGCTGAATACAAGGCCCAAGAGCCATTCAAAGTAGAGGATTATTAAATGAAGTTTTTGTATGGGCATAGAGGGCGGTAGCAAGAGGAGTATATTATGAAGATATGTAGGATAAATAACGGTTCACCCTCGACATGAAGAGATTAAAATTGTAGTGATCGGGAAAGTATCCTCTCGGGAGTCCTTTCCCCAGTTTCGGGGGAAGAGGCTGAACTTTCTTTTGCCAATGGAATGCGAAGGGGTTAAGGGATAAGGGGATTTGACCCTGTGTATGTGTTATAAATGGTCCTAGCTGTAAAGGTCTGAACTAGTGGAACTAACGAATGTAGCACGTTAGAACATTTGCCATGAAAGCAACGAAAGAGTAGGGAGAAGTTAGCAACGTTTCGTCTGTGAGGAAAGGGGTTGTAGGTTGGAAAATAATTAATCACCCAAACGGCCGTGTAAACGCTCTAGCCCTCTATCAAGCCTGGAAAGTTAGGATTGGACCGCTCTAGCCCAGATATATTGGATATGACTCTTGTAAAAATAAAACATGGCAGAAGTTGTTACTTCCTTGAGCGACACCAGGAACCAACAGTTTTATCAATATCTTAAACGATGAATCATATATATATATATATATATATATATATATATATATATATATATATATATATGAGTTCCATTTGAGGTCTGGAGGGGTTTAAGTCCTAACAGATATTCAAGACAAGATGTTTCAATAGGAGGAGAATCTTTTATCATGACTGGAGAAAATTCTGAGTTTTTTTTTTTTTTTGTGATTTTTATATTATCAAATTCTAAGCTGCAGCTACTTAGAAAAAAAAGAATGCCAAGGCTAGTATTGTTAGTGCTGCCGAGTGTGCTTCTGTCATAATTTCAGATGACGATTGCCGTACACCTTTACAACAAGTAATCTCTCCATTTTATAACGTGATATACTTTTGTTTTTATTTTTGGTTAGACGTAAACAAGTGCTAAATTCCAGTGTGTGTATGCGGTGTTTGAGAACTATCCGATCGTCTAAGTGATACAAACGAATCACGTGAAACAAAACCGCGTCTGCGCAAAGTCTCATTCAAAGAGAGAAAGAAAAAAAGTGGTATGGAGAAAGAACAAAAAAATGCAAATATCAGGAGAAAGAGGATGAATTTATTATAAAAGCTACACTGAAAATGACAAGAATACAAAGCTCATGGAACAGTAAAAACAAGAAACTGGAATTATATGAAGATGGCGAGGCCTGTCTGTTTGGCTTTTCTCTGTGCCGTTTACGCACGGTTAATTCGAGAAAAGTGAATAATCTCTTCTAAGATACATGGCCACCATCAACAAATATAAGCATAAAAGGCGGGCTGGTAGGCGTAAAGAAAGAAAGAAAGAAAGAAAATAATGAAAGAAACAAAGAAAGAAAATAATGAAAGAAACAAAGAAAGAAACAAAGAAGAAACAAAGAAAGAAAGGAAAAAAGAATGAATGAACGAAAGAAAGAAAGAAAGAAAAAGAAAAAAGAAAGAAGGAATTGTGAATGAATCAAAAAAGAAAGGACGAAGTACAACAAAAAGAAAATAGTTAAAGGGAAAAAGAAAAAGAAAAAAGGAAATGGAGGAAAGAAAGAAACAATTTTAGAACAGGGAAGAAAATGAAATGCTAAAGTAGTGAGAATGAGATAGATAGATAGATAGATAGAGAGAGAGAGAGAGAGAGAGAGAGAGAAAGAGAGAGAGAGGGAGAGAGAAATAGAAAGAGAAAGAGAAGAGAGAATGATAGAGTGGGAAAAAGAAATAGAAAGAAAAAAAGGTCAGACGATAATTAATTACGGACAAAATAAAAAGATTAAATAGGATTAAAAAAAAGAAGGGTGATAATGATAATGATGATGATGATGATGCTTTGTCCAAACGAAAAGTTTCATTTTTTTGTATTTTTATGACTTTTATTAATTTTTTTCTTAGAACTTTTACAAGAGAAATAAATAAATAAATAAATAAATAGAGACGTGGAAAAGAAGAGAAGGCTTGCTAGAACCACCGTGGGCTTGTCTTGGAAGATAAAATAAATAATAAAAAGAAAGTGGAATGATATGAAGGAGCGTGGAAATTTAAAAAGAACAACAACAGCAGCAACAACAAAACAAAAAAAAGCCTTGGTTCATTTCACGTTTGAATGCCGCTGAAAACTAAAGTTATCTTTATAAATTAATGGAGAAAGTCTAAATCTTTTCCTTCCAAATTGGATGCATCTCATTACGTAAGAATGAAGACAGAATTGCTGGAGAAAATCAAAGACGTTATTCCTATTGCGTTTATCTCGACTCCTAGTAACAGAACATCTTCTCATATGACTAAACTGTATTTTTTTAGCTGCATATCAAACTCTATGCGTTGTTTAATACCTAAATCTAAGTATTTTATACGTAATGGCTTTTAGTTAATAATGGTTTTAGTGATACAAATCTTACTAATTAACCCATAGATGGGGAGAGAAGACGTGGATTCATACCTCTCCAAAGAGTATTTGCGTGTAAGTGAATATAACGAAACCAACTGGAATTGAAACTCGGCTCTCCGATTAAAAATTCCCCTCCATTATCCACCAGCATATCCAAGCTTACAAACACCTGGTATTCCCAAGCGGTTACCCATCTAGATACTGACCAGACTTGACGTTGCTTATCTTCGGTGATCGTATGGGAAATGATGTTTCAACGTGATATGGTCGTAAGTCACATATGACTAGAACAAAGTGATCGATTGCATTTATAGTAAGACCCACACGTATAATGATTTTCCAAGCGTAGCTTGGATGTGTCACAAGGCCGAAAGTGAGGGGCACCCAGTGAGAATCGAACTCACCACTCGTAATTGTTTAAGAGAGCCCAGTTTGCTAACCATTATATCACCTCGAAGTGCCCAGACCCACGTGTATATATTGGGTTGACGAAAACGTTCGGTATATTTATTAAATTTTCTATTTAAAAAGCGAGCGAACTTTTGAGCCAACCCAATCCATCTGTATACACACACACATATATACAAACATATTCATATATACTTACCTGCACAGAAGCCGTTCAGATATTTTTTATTGATTTCACTTAAAGCAAGGCGTTAATGCTACTAAGACGCAAAGAGTTACTGGGAGAGAAAGAGGATGAAAAGACTTTCGGAGAAGGAAACTTAAACCTAACGTATAAGCCTTGATGCAAGCACACACGTACCTCTATTGACAATAACAATTGCATCATTGGAGAAATTGGTCGTGATTTCACCTTTATTGACAGTAAACCGCGATTTTCGAGCAAGCCATGTTGTGCTGTACTTGTCGAGGATTAATTCACAATAATCTTCTAAAATCTTTTGCAACCTTGCGCCAAATCTCGGTTAAACCATCTCAATACCCCTAAAGCCATTTCCACTCATTTGAACGGAAACAGATGAACACGAACAATTCGTGCACGCTTTTACAAACCCACAACACATCCGCGCGTGTTCATTCGCACATGTATATCGGCATATGCATACTTATATGTACATACTTATATATATATAAAAAAAAGACATTTTTATGTTTCTACAATGTTTTTATACATACAAATATTTAAGTAAATGCTCTGTTTATAATAAACAGTATTAATAACATTTACCGGCCTGAATGTCCCAGAAATTTTTATAGAAAATATTCATCCTCCGACAGGAATCGAACCTGTATCCTATACGGAACCGTCATATAGACCTGACGCGCCATAACCGATTGAGCCACAGAGGATCGTTCGGTTAGCAAGGACGAATATTTTCTATGAAAATTTCTCGGACATTCAGGTCGGTAAATGTTGTTAATACTGTTTATTATAAACAGAGCATTTACTTAAATATTTGTATCTATGTAAAGAATGTATAGACATAAAAATGTCTTAAGAATAATTGTCAGACTTTGTCCATTTCATAATGTGTGACGTCATTTGTTTTCATTTGGATACGCATTGGGCAAATATGAATGTACGTGAGAGATTCATGGAAGATTGTAGTTTAAAAGCAGTAAAATCGATCTTGCTAGCTGGACGATCCTCCGTGACCCGATCAGTTAAGGCACGTCAGGCTATATGACGGTTACCTATAGGATAGAGGTTCGATTCCTGTTTATTATAAACAGAGCATTTACTTAAATATTTGTATCTATAAAACGAATGTATAAACATAAAAAAAAGTCTTAAAATAATTGTCGGACTTTGTCCATTTCATATATATATATATATATATATATATATATATATATATATATATATGTGTGTGTGTGTGTGTGGTGCAGTTCAATTTATATTACAATGAATAATTCAAAGAAAAAGTAGATTAGTAAAGTTAATGATGTAAAATGGCGAAATCTCTTCGCAAACAAAATTATAATGATGCAACTTTAAAACTTTTTATCTTTAAACTTTACTAATGTACTTTTTTGTATGAATGATTCATTGTAATATATATATATATATATATATATATATATATATATATATATATATATATATATATATATATATATATATATATATATATAAAAGAAAGAACAGTAAGATATATAATCCGGTGTTCTTATAGATATTTTTATTTTTGCAAAATAGTGCTCAATGTAAATTTACAGAGCATTAATATTATAAATTAATTGATTTAAAATATGTTTTTTTTCGCTATACAGTTCTAACCATGTTTCAAAAAATGGAAGCTAAAAGCTTCGAATTTAATTTTGTAATTAAATTAGACATTAGTTCTATTTTATCCTCAAGCGAAAAAAATCGCTTGAGGATGAAATAGAACTAATGTCTTTAAGTAGATATTTACTTGACCCCCCCCCCACACGCCACTGAGTCAGGTTGTGACACAAGGGTCAAGTTTTAACGTGAGGACCCGAGTGTTTTCACTCGGGCCGCTGGTCTAAGCGAGAGATAGCTTGTCATAGCTGGTCCAAGCTGGTCAGTGTCGGTCCAAGCTAGTCGTAGCCGTGATACTACCAGCGCAGAGACGGATTCCTACACCAGGTAAGTAGATATTTACTTGACCCCCACTGTCACTGTGTCAGGTTGTGACACAAGGTCAGTTTTTAACGTGGGGATCCGAGTTTTTTTTCACTCGGGCCGCTGGTCTTAGCTGGTCATAGCTTGTCAGAGTTGGTCAGAGCTGGTTTAAGCTAGTCATAGCTGGTCTTGGCTTTTCATAGCTGGTCCAGGCTGGTCAGAGACGGTCCAAGCTAGTCGTAGCCGTGATACGACCAGCACTGGAACGGAGCCCTGTGCCAGGTAAGTATACCGAACACAGAGTAGATATTTACTTGACACCCCCACTTAGTCAGGTTGTGACTCAAGGTCAGTTTTTAACGTAGGGACAGGAGTGTTTTCATAGCTGGTCTAAGCTAGTCATAGCTGGTCTTGGCTTGTCATAGCTGGTCCAAGCTAGTCGTAGCCGTGATACGACCAGCACAGGGACGGATCCCTACACCAGGTAAGTAGATATTTACTTGACAGCAACCGTGTCAGCACATCCATACCGTTCCCCCAACCAGAGTCAGGTCTCTGATACAGCCCCAGCAACCGTGTCAGCACATCCATACATTTTTCACAATCAGAACCAGGTTTTCCATAGAGTCCCACCTCCCACATACAGTCCAAACAACCGCTGTTTGTTACACAATGTAACAATCCTGTGTAAAAAGAAAACAGTTTGAGCGGGCCTTGCACCCTATCACAGACTTATTGACTGATTTGTTTTTAACGGTGTATCAACCTGTTGTAGGTTATTTAATGCTTGAAAATAGGCCTACTATTGAGAATAAATGAATTCAATAGTATTTGTGCGTAAGTGGATACAATGAATCTGACTGGAATTAGAATTCGGTTCTCCAATGTCCAATTCGGGACTGTTCTCTGTATCTGATATTCCCATGCTGCCACCAATTTAGGTACTGACCCCGTCTTGCTTAACTTCGGCGATCAGACGAGAACCCTTTGCGACATGACCAGTAGCTCCTTACCAAAGGTACACTAAGCTAATGGAGATTGTTTGCCAAGGTGAACATGATATGGTGTGTCATATTCTGTGATGGTTTAAGCCCGTGGTTCTGAAGAATATATCTCGTTCGAACATCAGCCATAATAATAGCAATAGATTAGTGAGAGGCTAGAAATGTTTCGTCTGTGAGGTATAAGTGTTGCAGGCTGGAGGTAGCGAATAATTCGATGGAATTAAGTCAATTGTGTCATAGAATAAAGTACACTTCTTTAAAAGTAAAAATATCAAAAAGAAAAAAAAGGGCGAACACATCCAAGACTGTCAAAAAATGATTTGTATAGAGAAGTAAATTTGCAATTACATTGGTTAAATATAGGATTTTTGTCTCCGCGACTATATTGTCACATTTAAGTAAGAATTTCGCTTTTAAAGTAAAGATTGTTCCAAATAGCTAAATGTCAAATAGTGACGGCTTTATTAAGTACTTTTGACGTTGCATTGGGTACATTTTCTGCATGCGTAACCAAGGATTTTTATCTATACAAATTATTGGTTAGTAGGTTTTGTTTAAAGACATATCAACTTCTATGGGTTATTTGATGCCAACATTTAAATATTTTGAACACAATTTTATAGCTACAGATAAAATATATTGCTGGCCTTCTTTATGTGCGATCATGGCTCTCCACAATTTCCTTTCCCTTGTAGTTTTTAATAAATTTTCCTTTCTTTTATTTCTAAAACTATTGCGACAGCTATTTACTCAAGCTCGCTTATCTACTCTTCTACTGTCCTGTGAGTATCAGATTTTCCAAGTCCTCTTTCCTCATTATGTACCCTAGAAATCTCAACTGTCTATTTCTGATGTTAAATGTAAGTTTCGTTTTTGTTTCGATTTTCTCTAAAACCACATCGTTGCTCACATGTTCGGTTCATAGTATCCTCAGTATCCTTCTGTTAAACCAATTTTCTGTTCACTACATTTGTCGCCATATTTATTAGAACGTTTCGGCCGTTGTAGGCTCCGGCCTTCTTCAGTTGATTGAAATATCGAATTGAACACTTTATTTCGCTCACTGGGGTAAACTGTTTCCACGTGCCATGTTTAATGGATGTCAGTTATCAGTTATCTCATGTTAATTCCTTGAAAGTTCTCCACTGCCTTAACCGGGTATTGAACTCACACTCTTTGGGTCCTGTCACTGGGTTTAACCAACGCCTTTATCCACTGTGCCATGTGGACATCTGTATATGAATGTCTGGGTATTATAAACCTAATTTCTCAGTAACCGTTTCTTTTTTCTTAAGGCAGTGGAGAACTTGAAGAGGAGAATTAACAGGAGATAACTGATAACTGACATCCATTAAACATGACACGTAGAACTAGAACAGTCTACTCCAGTGGGCGAAATAAAGACTTCAGTTCGACATTCCAACGACCTGAAGAAGGCAGGAGCGTACAACGGCCGAAACGTTGTAATAAATATGTCGACAAAGATGAGAAGAATAGTCCGAATAATGTAAAGAGTGTACATAATACCTCATCTCAGAAATATAGACACAATTTTCTGTTGCTTCAAGTTTAATCTTCTTTGGGTAGATTGTCAAGCACTTCCATACAGGAGGACTGTCATACTCACGTAACAGTTTAGTACTCTTTTCATTATTGGTCATTTTACTATAAATATGTATTATTGGTAATTTTACCGGAAAATTTATTTTTAT